GAAGTAGCTTCCTGATCTCCTCCCAGACAATGTCGTGGATGCCTGGGAGGCTGGCGTCGAAGTAGTAGCTGGACAACTCGAGTGTCGAGACGCGGGAAGTTGTTCATAGTGGCAGGCTGGGGCATGCAGTGCACATTCCACGTTGGAAGCCTCGGTGATATGAACACTTCGACTGTTGTTGGAGGTTGCGGACAAGGCTGCCGAAGGTGTTGTCCCTCACGTGAGGGGCATGGGATTCTTAGGTTCTTGTCTTCTGTAGCATCAAGGTCGGCGTGGGCGTGGGCGCTCGATCAAGCGCAAAACATCCTCCACGAGTGCGGTGGCGCTCTCGCTGGGGCAGTGTCCTGGACAGAAGCAAGAATGCGGCTCTCTCTCGTTGATGTTGGCTGATGAATGCGCGCTTCAGCTCGATCTTGCAAACTTCCCATGACGTTAAGGAGGATCCATGGTTCTCAGACCAGCGCCGGCAGTTTCTTCCACGAGAAGTATAGGTTCTGCAGGAGCTGGTTGTCTGTAAACCCAATGTGGCGGGCGACACTCTCATATTGTTCAATCCAGTCCTTGAGGTCTTCATACAGCTTGCGTGAAAAAGCGCGGAGTGTGATTTGCGACGGGCATGCAAACAATGGTGGGAGGGGACACGGTTTGCTGCTACAGGTTTGTCATTGTTGGCTTAGTCAGCTTCGGGTTTTCTGACAGGAGACCGAATTCCGGTGGTTTTTCCTGGTAGCAGCAACTGGCTCGGATTTCAGGTGCTTCGTGGTGTATTTCCGAGGTTACTCCTTGTGGTATTCGGTCGTCTTGCGGTTGTTCTGCCAGGCTCGGGTCAGGACTTTGCTTACGGCTCGACGGGGGTATAAGACGCAGGATAGTCCGCCAGCCGTGTCCCATTATCGAGTAACTCGGCTGAAGAGCCGCCGGGTTCACACAGAGTAAAGGGCTATGGGTGCCCAGCACCTCCACCAGAACATACGATTACAGCTGAGCATGACCTGCAGTGTCCCAGAATAGTGAACATTGATAGAAGATAGGACTGGAACAAGGATCCGTGACAGTATAACAAAACTCGCAGAAGAGAATCTATCCTGACCACTGAAGAAGCTGCATTGCTTTAGTGGCATTCTGTCCGAATAAATCCTCTCCTTCGGGGTTTGGCGACTGCCCTGGACAAACTGAACTGAAATGGATGTGGGACCACTTTTCTGGTAATGAGCCACTGCAGACTGTTGCCACAAAGCGGCGTGAGCTGGGTACGTAACACGCTCGATGAAATGTCCGGACAGCTTGCAATTCGCGTAACGAGTGTGGATGAAACGTTTGTGTTGACGAAACGTGCGACACACCAGCGGGATCAATACCAACTGCAACACCTGTGCTCCGTGAAAGTGCACGTCTACGCCGGAACAATTTCGGAAGCAGCACAGCATCACCTAAAGCATGGCACAGGAACTACCAGCTTGAAGGCAGCTCTTCGGTGCGCCGCACACCTGTGCTCCGTGAAAATGCACTTCTACGCCGGAACAATTTGTAAGCAGCACAGCATCATTCAGCACGGGACGGGAACTACCAGCTTCAAGGCAGCCTTCCGGTGCACCGCACAACCGAAGTGAGCCCTCGGTCATTTGATCGAAGCTGCACCGGCTGCACCACGATTGCACACCGCCAAGCACGACTCACGCAATTTCCGTCGCTAAACTGTGTATCCAAATATATTGCACACGCTTCACTGCAAACCTCGAAGATTCCGATGGTCAACGAGAGCACAGAAACGTCGCCTTAAATTTTATCCTGGCGGTATCCGAATCAATCTGAAGTCCGAGCAACGTAGGTCAGATTGTCTCTTCCGTGGCAATGTCCCGGTCGGTCACCAGCGAAATGCACACCGCTTCTCCGTATTTTCACGTTATACCTACGTCAAACACCACGCTGAACTCTGAACTCGCTTTCGACCTGCCTCATATGACGGCTTCCGCGTCTGAAATCAAGTCGCCGAGACGAACGACGACCAACAAAGCATCCGACAAGCTCCGGCCCAGCTGGGGCCAGCCGCTGCATGGGCGCTGCCATCTTTCCTGTGATGTCACGTATTTGGTTTGGTCATGTGACGTGTGGTCAAATTTGCGTACAATGGCAGCCACCTTATGGGGGTCACTTTCGAGTGCAGACCGGAACCCCGGTTTATCGCTCTAAGCCCCTCTACCTCGTTGGTATACTCGCATGCAACACGAGAGGCCACGCAGCGTCTTTCGCGGTGCTATTTGAAGGATAAAAGCGTTACTGCATGTGGCTGCGAGTTGCAACTGTCTTGGCGTTCAAACTAACAAAAGAAACAAATATAACGCGTGTGTTTTTTAAGCTGTCCCCAATAATTCATTCTAAACGGTATTAAGTGAATGCACGAAAATTGTTCCACCCCTTTAGAGCTGTACACGCGCATTTTCACCCCCTACAGAAATGCCACAAGTGTTCTGCGTAGTACTATTATACTACTATAATATTAGTAGTCATCAGCAGATATTGCGTGTCTATATTAGGTGGTCTTCTATTGGTTCCGACTGTTAATTAATTGGGTGATGCGGTGATTTTATTGACTGCCCAGTGATGACGAGGTGATCGGTGGTGACCGTTAAATGTTGTTTTGTAGGTTCCAATAAGGACGGCCAAGAGTCGCTGTGCGTCATCAAAAATGCTACCGGCGCTTGGATGAGGTAAGGGTGAGGTAAGTCTCACCGGACGCCATATTTGAGAGCGATGTTTAGAGCGCATGCTCAGAACGAGCTCACATTAACGGCCTGCTAAGACAGGCAATCTTGAGGGCGCGGTGTGCACGTTACACAGGAACTGCGAGGTTCGCCGTCCGTCAGCACGCGCTCATCAGCCGCGCACACAGCTATGGCCGCCAGTGAATAGGAGAAGATGCCGAACCGGATCAGGCGCCGATCGGCCGCCGCGATTGGTCGGCCCCTGCTAGGACTCCGCAATCTTCCGGACGCGTGAATCTAGGTGTTCACCGCACGTATTAAAAAGTATGTTTAGCTGGTCTCGGCGCACCACGAAGGGAGGGAATTTTCGATCGGTCTTTACACACGTTTGTAAGCAACCACGCTTCGAAACCTTGTCTCGCGACCGTGGCTGAAAGAAAAACTTTGTCTTGGGCGCCACTTTGACAAATGTAGGCATGCCTTGGGAATCATGTCCACCGGTGGGTCCGGTGTTGGGGGGGACGCCGACATGGTTTGACCAGAGGAAGATTGGCGACCCCCTCGACGAGAGAACGACGGGCTGGGGGAACTTTTTGTTTCTTTTTGTCCGATCCCTTAAATTTCACCCTGGCGATAAATCTCCCAACCTGCTGATATATATTTACGGAAATGCGTTAACTTTAGAGAAGATGAAATATATTTTTTTTTGCTTTGTTTTTAGGCTAGGTGACGCAAGCTGCCGCCCGTTATAAAATGTGCAGCCCTTAATATCCATCCATCCATTCATGCTTGACTACCAGACAACCTATCTTCCGTCTCACACTAAAATTGACTGGAGCCCAAAGGCTGGCAAACAAAGATCTAAAGCAGCGGTCTCCAAACCCCGGCCCGCGGGCCAAATCCGGCCCGCAGAGGTCTTCCGACTGGCCCGCAGCTGGCCGCGGTACTTCCAATGGAGCCCTCCTCGCGGCCCGCTTCCATCATGGCCCGCTGTTACAGGCGCAAAAATAAGCGCGCGCGCAAAAGAAACTGCGCCGCAACGCGGACCAACCGCGAAAACAGATACCAAAAGAAGCCAGAGAAAAATGGTTATCATAAGGTGTGTCGTCTCGTCATATTATTAATCGGATATTGTCAACACTAGCATCACCATTCCAAGTCTCCTCTTTCTAGCTATGTATGTTAAGTTCTTTGGAGTTCCCGTGCATATTGGGCTTGCTGTACTGCGTCGTATAGGTTGCATATTGTCAGCATCAGTTTTATAATTATCATTGGTATTCTGCCCTGTTAGAGGCCAAAGTTCATGAACTTTTGTTTATGCCTGGTGAGTTTTCTGGGTCCGAATGATTTCGCGATGTCATAATTAGCTAAACATCGGATTTACAAATAAAGTGGTTGTATTCATCTACCTTCTATTATTCTTTTTTAATCTCTACTCTCAATTTTCAACTTTCAATTTTACTTGTTCTTTTTTTTAAATTTATATTCACTTATTTGTTTTCTGGCCCTCGAGGCAGCAATAGATCTCCAATCCGGCCCCTTAGCCAAAACCGTTTGGAGACCCCTGATCCAAAGAAAAAAAAGTTCCTTTCTGGTGAAAACAGTGTCCTCTGAAACAAATTGTAGTATGGCCAAAAAGATACAAATAACAACAGCACTGCCGTTTAATTTTGCTGCCATGCTCTTGTACATTGTTAACTCAAAGAATAAAATATTTATTTAAAACTAAATTTAGGGTTTGACAGAAAATATTTTTGTTTTCCTATATAGCCATTACAATCTAATTCAGTCCAATTGTGTGTGTGTTTCACGTGCATGGTGGAGCTCCGCGTTTTCCGCTTGGACGTTTTGTCGCTTCCCCAGTGGCCAGCGATTCTGATCGTCCGGTGTCTTGTCAAAAACTATTGACCGATTGCGTGATCTGCAAAGTTCAGTGCATCGCCAACAACTTCACCGCAAACTCGTAACTTGCATCGATAACCCCGATTCGTCAAAGCTCGGGTTTACGTTTCTGACATTCCTGCTACAGAATCGCATATATGGTGTATGAAAACGCACCTGGAATATGTCAGAAGCTATTAATATCCCCTAGAAGACGAAACCGTTCCGGAGCAGTGATGCACGCGTTGGAGCAATATAGCACGTGGTTTCTATCTCTTGTGATTGGACCCGGCGGCCCGTAGGTTTGGCGCTTGGTCTATCTATTATGGATGACAGAGAGGATGCACATGCCAGCAGCGGCGACAAGGGGCTGTGCTCCCACACGTCTATTGGTAGTCCGTCCACAGCGGCTCTCACCTGGTAGCCGATGCGGCCAATCAGCGAGGCCGCGCTATGGCACGTGACTGAGCTGGCGCCTTGGTTCGCGTAGCTTTGAGACAGGACCAGCTCAGAGACTCGCTTCCGCAGCATCCTGGCGAGGGCCACAAACACGTGGGCGGCCCGGTGCTTGTTCAGCTCTCCGCAGGCTTCCAGCTTCATCAGGGCATCGCCGTAGTCGCGCAGCAGGACGCTCGGCTCTGGTTGCTTGGCCGGAAGCGGCCCCAGCGGAAAGATTCGCGGGATCCAGCGCCGCGGAAGCTTTGCCGTCAAGGGCCTCAGGAGGTCTCCTGGAATGGGACAGTTCGCCAGAGAATCGTACGTCACCCTCACTTCGTATGTCTAGCCTGCGTTGACGTCACGTCAGCCGCCATTTGGAGCCATTTTGACGAGACTCTGAGAGGAATAACTCCCCCACTAGCCACACCCGTACGCAGTGGAAGAAGAGAGTGGTGTCCGAACGGGCACCGCCTCGCCACAGAGCAAGTGTGGCAAAGGTTCGCTCACATTTCTTACAAACGCTGTGAGATGGCGCAGCATGTAAGGAGCCGATGAGAGCCAATCCAAGAGCTGTCCTTACTCACGCACACGTTTAGAAGACCGCACGGCGTGCGACCGTGCTTGCGCGAAGGCCCCAAAACGGGCTGTGCTACTGCCGAGAGATACACGAAGCCTAAGCAAACTTTTCTCACCTTTGCTGGCCTTGTTCAGACACCTCTCTTCTTCCGCCGTGGACTCTACACACTGGACCTACGTGTTGACCCAGGGGGCGGTGCCAGCGCCCGACTCGATACTGAGGTCCGTGGTCACCTATGCTGAGAGCACGGGCCTCTTTCACTTCTAACATTTCATCAATGATATCTCACCACCATCGCCACTGTTTGATCATGCTAAATAGTAACCGTCCAGCAGCACCCTGTCGTTCAATAAACCTTTATTCACCATTCTGGCGTTCTTTAGCCCCAGGGTGGTGAACAGGAGGCGCCTCCATTGGGTCCAATGACCCGCTCGACCTTTTTCTTCATGGTGGATACGGTTGCCAAACCGCTTGTTTTGTACTTCATGTTTTTATCTTTCTCTTTTTTTTTTAGTTTTTTTTTAGCAATCACACGAATAAATTACGAAAAAAATGCATATAAAGATTAATAAAATCAAATTTTAGGTTTTCGTGCGCGTCACCATCGAAGACCATAGTACTTCAAAAACAAGAGAAGCAAGTATCATAAAGTGTACCAAAATAATATAAATAGTTTTCGCCATATTCAATTCACTTAAAACTGATTTCAAAAGACGCTTTTAAAGAAGCTGTGCTCTCCAAGAATAAAAATAAAATAGCTCGAGGATAAACGACTATAGGTTTGCAGCTAACGAGGCTCATATGGAGTGGTACACACCCATGAAGTAAACGAAGAAAATGGGTGCGCCGTTTCTCATGAGATTTTGAGGAAGCCATAACTGTGAGGCAATCTTAGGGTTTCCACGCCTTGTTCACACGTCGGTTGCTCTCCTTTACTTAAAAAATAAGTAGCTGTGTCGGCAGTGGCGTCACTATAGGGTCAGCGGCACCCAGGGCAGCAGCCCGCTGCGACCCCCCCCCCCCCCCCCCCCTCCCTTTCTCTGCACAGCTGCACCCCCCTGAGCGCTGCACCCGAGGCGGTCCGCCCCCCTCGGCGAGAACAATACGTAGGAACGACCACCAGCATGATCCGATGACTTCATGTCCAAGCCGTCCATGCTGGTGGTCAGTAGTGTTTTTCAGTGGATCGTTCCGATGACTCCGGTAACGATACCCGGTACTCCGCCGCCGCCTTTGCGCGTGTATATCGTATCGTTATCGGGGGCATCGGAAGTATTGAAACAATCTACTAAAACTCTCTATTGATGCCTATTGTTCTTAACGAGGAGAACAGATTCGGTGGTCCGGAATGTGGCTACCAGAACGGCAGCTGATGTGACGTCATGTGGAAGCCGTGTGGCAAAGTTTTACTTCGCCTTATACTCTACGATGGACTACAGTCAGAGCTACGGGGCGCCTGGTCCAGTCATGGGACACTTAGAGAAACCAAGTGGTGTATTCCTACGACCCTTGAATCGTTGCGCCTCTCTGATACGCACGCTAGATATATGTATACGACGACCTAATTAGTGGTTGCTCCTGTAGGCCCCCAACTTTGGCTATAGTCTATCGCTGAGTTAAAGCCAATTAAATATAGAAACTACTTCTCCAGGCGATCACCGAAGAAGACAGTTCAAGTCGATTGCAAGGTATAGCTCAAGGGAAGTTGATACTCCTCCTGTAAGTTACGATGATAGTTATGCGAAGTGTAATATTACCTCAAACCTTACTTACTAAGTCATACGTTTACATTCACTAAAAAATGCAATTTGTCTTTTTTTTTTTTTTTGCTCGACATTGCCAGGGACACGAGCCTGAGCGTGCTGCTTTTTCAAACACTTTAAACTATTGTAAGTGCCTGTGAGAAAGAAAAAAAAATTCCGCTGATACGTTCCTGTACCTATTTTTCACAGTGCTGAACAGAACTCGTTAAATTGACAATAATAATGATATCCAACACACCTTTTCTTCGCAGATTTTACCTCAAATAAACTCACCGTTTTACATTTTGTTCAGGGAAGTATTTTCTCAATAATTTTACGTGACGGTGCGTTTTATAGCAAATGCGATTATGTCTTAAACTCACTCGTTACAATCGCTATATTGGTGTGATATCTGCATTAATGGCTGCTATATTTTTGAGACAAACTCGCTCAATTACAATATGTAATTTAAGTAACTTAGATATCTCATTTATGATCATTTCGCACTCTATCATGTGACCATGAAGCGGACGTGTCGTATTAACTGACGCATTAAAGCAGCAAAAATATTCAGCCTTCCGAAGTCCAGGACCGATTGATATACGGTGGAATGAAGGCTGTACACGTGACTAACCCGATGTGTCCCCCGTAGTCGAACTCCAGTAGAAGGCAATGAGTGACGTTATTGGCTGGCTAAGGCACTCCCAGCATACCACTGTCCCGTCCACACCAGGAATGGCGGAGATGCACTTGGAGAGTACGGACAAGTCCACCTGCGAAGACACGTACGTGCACAGTGTATCTCGACAGAAAACACACGATTGGTTGCGAGTAGCCGTATACTTTAACAGAGAATAGAACCTGATTACGAGCGAAATCAGTTATCAAAAAAGTTGCAACGACCTTTATGTCTAAAATTCTATAATGCATAAAATGAGGTATTTAAAGAGTTATCGTTTCAATTTTTTAAAACAACCTAAACGGTCGTTTTCAGCGGAAAAAAACTATATCTTTTATCAATTTTCCTGATGACATCAGCGAAGAAATGAAATAGGCGTAAACGTCACTTGAGGTAATTTACCTGTTAAATTTAAAGGGGCACTGACAGGTCAACAACATATAGTTTTTTTTTATCATTATTCGATATGATTGAAAACGATACCTTGACATTATCCTCAAAATTGGGAACTTGAAAACTCAATATTTGTAAAGTAAAAAAAAAAAAAAAAAAAAAAAAAAAAAACAATTTCCAAAAGCCAAATTTGTGCCATTTGGGAATTCGGTATCCGTGAAGTAAAAATTCACTATTTATTTATTTTATTTATTTATAAATACCCTCAAGGCATGAAGCATTATAGAGGGGAGTGGTACAGCAAATACAATAAGTAAAATGGAATAATAATTGGGAAAGCATACACGAAAGAAAATTTAAAAAAAAACAAAAAAAAACAATGGTTACAAATGATTAATACACTTTGATACTATATTGTCCACTAGCCTGAAACCGGCAAACACAACGCCTTCTACTAGTACAGTTAAATAATCAATCAGATATATTTTTTAAGGCAGATTGAAACAAATCATAATTAGTAATAGTGGCTATCAGAGAGGGAAGGTGGTTCCAGTCACTAGACGTACGTGGGATGAATGAATAAAAAAAGGAATTAGTGTTGCATGAAATGACTCCTACTTTATGTGGGTGATCCATCCGTGACGACATGTATGAAGGTGATGTTAACAGTTCACCGCGTAAAGTGGTGTGGTGGAAAATTTTATGAAACAAACAAAGTCGTGCGTCTTTGCGTCGTGACGCTAGGGAAGAAAGACCTAGGTTAGATTTCATGGAGGATACGCTAGCAGCTCGTTGGTAGTTAGAATATATAAATCGAACCGAGTTATTTTGAATCATTTCCAACTGATTAACGAGAGTTCCGATGCCAGGATCCCATATCGGTGAAGCATATTCTAGTTGTGAGCGCACAATTGTTTTGTAGAACAGTAATTTAATAGAAGTAGGGGCCGAGTAAAAGTTGCGTTTTAGGTACCCAAGCATACGGTTAGCCTTGTTAGTAATGGAGTCGATGTGAATTTGCCAGCTAAGATTAGAAGTAATATGGACGCCTAAATACTTGTATGATTCGACAGTTTCGAGTAGACTACTATCAAGGTGATATGAAGGTAAGTTAGCGGAACAACGAGAGATTCGCATGAATTTGCACTTGTTAACATTTAGTGTCATATGCCACGTTTTGCACCAAGAAGTGATAGCGTCAATATCAGATTGAAGTGCATGCACGTCATTGATAGAGGTTATTTCCCGGTAAAGAACACAATCATCTGCGAATAGATGAATCGAAGATGATACACAGTTTGGTAGATCGTTAATATAGACAAGGAAAAGTAATGGCCCAAGTACAGTACCTTGGGGTACGCCAGATATTACAGGGTGAAGGAGAGAGCTGACTTCATTCGCGGTTACAAATTGCTGACGATGTGTGAGAAAGCATTCAAGCCATTTTAGTATGTTAATATCAATACCTATTTTTTTTAGTTTTAGTAGCAGGAGCTGGTGAGATACCTTATCAAATGCTTTCGCGAAATCCAGATATATACAGTCGGCGGATGATCGGTTATCGAGTATAGATTGCAACTTATGGGTGAATAAAGCCAGTTGTGTCTCGCACGAAAAAGATTTGCGAAAGCCGTGCTGTGCGCGGTGAAAAAAAGAATTTGATTCCAGATAGTTCGCGATATGGGAGAAAAGTATGTGTTCTAGAATTTTGCAAGGAACGCTAGTGATTGATATGGGTCTGTAGTTGTAGGGTGAGTGCTTGTCGCCAGATTTGTGCACGGGAACCACCCTCCCTATTTTCCAGTCCTGCGGGAGCTCACCAGAATTGAGGGATTGCTGAAAAATTTTAGCGAGGGCGACAGAGGTATAGGCTTTCGTGTTTTTTAGGAACATGGGAGTAATACAGTCAACACCAGAGGAGGAGAAAGGTTTGAGAGAGTCAATAATTTTGGCAACACCATCAGTCTCAATCTGCACAGGATACATGGGTAAATACTCAGGGTTACTAAATGAAGGCAAAACGTCAGAAAAAACACACGAAAAAGCGCTGGAAAACACGTTGTTAAGCGTATCTGAACCCTGTTTGTCATCAATTGGTTCACCGTCCAAATTCGTTAGTACAATTCGCGAACTATCAGCCGGGTTCACTACATTCCAAAATTTTCTTGGATTGTTCAGCAACATATTTGGTAATGTGATGGTTAGAAAATTTTCCTTCGCCGATTTGACTGCCGAATTATATTCATCAGCCGAGGTACGATATAGAGACCATCGATGTTGGTCACTAGACGTTTTTGCACTTCTATACATGCGTTTTTTTCGATTGGAAAGGCGCCTGATAAATGAATTATACCATGGTGCTTGCGGATTATAACAGATTACACGAACTGGAATAAAACGGTTAGCAAGCTCTGTCATCTTCGTTTTTAGAAGCTTCCAATTATATTCAACTGAGCGTGCTTCGAACCCGTTTAGAAACGCTTGTAGAAATAAAAACAGTTCATCATTGATTTGGTTAAAGTCAGCATTAGGATAATTACGTATCACTTTAGTTCTATTAGAAAACTTTTTTACAGGAATAGTCACAGAAAAATTTAGTAGAGAGTGATCACTTATTTTCGGCATGTATGTTACTTCTGAGCATAACTCGGGACAAGTAGTTAATACCAAATCTAACAGGTTCGCACTTGTCGGTGTAACTCTGGTTGGTTCGGAAATAATCTGTGTAAAGTGAAAGTATGAACATAACTCAATAAATTCCTGGCAAACAGACGAGGACGAATTTAGTGAAGTAAAAAAAAAAACAATTTCCAAAAGCCGAATTTGAATTTCCCGCGCGTTTCGCGCCATGCAGTGACGTCAAAGATTGAGTCGTCCTGCAACTCGAGTTTCTCTCACGTCTCCGTGTCGTGTTCGCCCGCGTCCCGTGATCAACCGCTCCTTGTGAGCCGCCTATCGCTGTGAGCACACGACGCTTCACTTTCGAGTATGAAGTTCTTTTAGGGCCCTTTCAGCGATCTCAAATTCTTTGAAACGGTGTGAAACTTCGAAGAGAACGCGCAGTGGACTTTTGTGAGCGACGTGAGGAGCCACGTCGCGCCGGTTCTGCGTGGAAGGCTGCCCCGGCGGAGTAACAACCGAAACTACGGTCCACGGCCACCAAATTCAGTTGTTCTGTCCGTTTGACAATTTCCTTTTCGAAGTCTGCGAGGATGAAGGGTACCTAAGAAAAAGAACTTCGTCCGATTCCTCGATTCCCTGATTCACCGATCATCCTCAGTGCTACATGCGTCGAGCGCCGCCATGTTTTCCGATTGCGGATAAGAAGCCAGGAGGTGACATCACGCCGGACTTTGATTTTCGGTATTTCAAAAAAAAGAGTGTAATGCGTTCGCAATTGCGTTAAAAAAAAAAAAAAAACATGTTTTACGAATGCCGTTGTTAAACTCTATAAAAATGTCGCTTTCAAAGCTTCTAAATTTCATAATCGATTACATCACAAATCAAAAGAATCGAGAAGGTAAAAAGCGGGAAAGAAAAACGACAAAAAAAAAAAAAAAAGGCACGTGCGCGCGTGGGTAAATATTTTTTTCTGAAAGTTTATGACTACAACTTGCATCGTGTTTGACAACAAAAAAGCTCGAGGTACGCCTAAACACATATTATGAGTTGTGAATGCGAAAGCATGCAAGCCGCTCGTCCGCTCTCTTTTTCGTCTGCTGCGTGCTTTTCGTCGCCGGTCAGCGCGCGTGCTCCCCTGGGCACGCTGACCTTGGACCATAGAGTTATTATAATGTACGCTAGAGGTTCAACTGGCGCTAGTGTCTATGCTACTTCCGTGACGCAAATTGAAGCAGACAGCAACCAGTCTACTTTTACGGTACTCCTGTGCATTCCTATGGGAATACGCACGTGAATTTTGTCTATTCGCCGTAAAATAACACGAATAACTTTTGTTATTTCGGTTGTACCGGATAGTATGTACCTTTATTGATATTGTGAAAGTGTAATTGATTGAGTTAGCGCATTTTTCTTCATCAGTGAACGATGCTTAACTTCGCTACATTTCAGTCCAAAACGTGTGTTCCGCAGCAGGTGTAAAAACAAGCGACGATTCAAAGCAAAATTACAATCGAAACGAATATAGAGTGTGTTCAAGGCTCGCCAGCATTCCGGTGACGCTTGTATATTGATAATATGCCAGTCCTGTCACTATATGAAAATGATCCCGTTGTGCATGAGCGGATAAAAACCTTCAAAACGTAGAGAATAAAGTTTGTGGGCTATGAAAGGTGTCTCTTCGTATTGTTCTCTACCGGGCAGCTTTTATCGCGCACTTCTTCTCAAAGATATCGACCGCGCGGGTGATATTTTGAACGTGGAACAAGCAGCTTCGCTCAGGGCAGAAAGAATAAAGCAGTATACTTACTTACTTAAAATCGGAATAGATTACGTGGCCTTCAATTTATATTGATCGTGCATGCACTGCGAGTTACTGATCCAGTGTATACTGCGTAGTTCTTGCCGCCGCTCTTCATTTTCAGGTGTCCTTCGTTCGTTTGGCATCTAGTATATCCCCCATGCTGGAAATCGCCGACGCCGCGTTCGCGCTTACAGTGTCCGACAGTGCACATAAATACACGTACGAAGCCGTTTTAGCACCGTTTTTAATGCGATGAATTCGAAAGAAAAACGCCATAACTGACCAATTATTTCGTCGGCCTGACTGAGAAATGTTCCAAGCTACGTAGTACGTACGAATTATTTGGGATATTTGCTCTTATGATCGAGCGCAGAGAGCAAATGCACTCACTTTTTCCCATAGGAATGCATTACCGGAAGTCAATTTTCGACTGGTTGCTGTCTGCTTCAATTTGCGTCAACACACTAGCGCCACTTGAACCTCTAGCGTACATTATAATAACTCTATGCCTTGGACGCTCCGTGTTAACGGCGCGTTGATGGACACGCAGCGCCATGGGGTGAGCGGTCGTGGAAACTGACTAGCGCAACGGACAAAGGGAGCCCCGTCGACGCGCGCCAGCCAATGGAACCGAAGACGAAATCCATCAGCTTTAGTTTGCTCCTTTGGGATCGGGGAAACTAGGTGCCGTTTTCGCGCCTCAAACTGATGACGTCAGCTCGCTCCATGGGACAGTAAATTCCTTTGTATTAAAACAAATATAACCTTAGGGGTATCTGTGCTTTTTTAAGCGGAAACTAAATTGCCGAATAGGCCACGTGACGTCTATTTTCCCGTTTAACTTAGCGGGGAACCTGAATCAGTGCATAGGTCACATGACGTAAACATGCTTGCTAAATTTAGCGGGGAAATAGAGTTTCTGTGTAGGTCACATGACGTCAGGTCATCCGACGTCAATTTTCCCGCTAAATGTAACGTGAAATGCACGGACGGATGGACAGTCAAAATTTTTGTTAAAACATCTTTCCGTCAGTTTGTGGACCTAGTTATCACCTAAAAAACATAAAACTAACTCTACTCACAGACATAATAAAAGCAGAATGTTGGTAACGTTTATAGCGTTTTACTATCGCCAACTGGCAATGTACTTACGGATGCGCTTTAAGATACGAGAAGAAATACCTCACAGCCGCTCTTCGTGGTCCCATACCTTGCGTCCACCGAGTCTCGGCGTCGTCATGGCGGTGAGCACGAGGTTTCCCTCCGCGTTGACGAAACCCGAGTCCCCCGTACTGACGAGCACATGGTCCGCCTTTCCGCAAAGGTTGATGGACCCAGTTTCTCCTTGCGCGCAGTCCCGGAGAAATTCATCCCTAACAACGACATTGCACAGACCCACGGGCTTTCCGAGCACCACCAGGTCACCCTCGAGTATCGTGTGGCATTGGGGTTCGCAGTCACTGGGGGGACATTGGTACGCGCAGCACAACCCCGCGTGCTCGTACACGTAGACGAGCCGAGCGTGAGGAAGGACGATCCGGAATAGGCGCACCAGGGGCGACGTCAACAGACCTTGCGAACACTTTACCAGGGTCAGCTGGGACAACGGAGCATGTCGGTGCTCGAGCCAGGCGCGCCTCAACAGGGACAACAAGCAGTGTGGGCTGAGTTCGAGCCTAGTCACGGCTTCACGCGACAAGAACTTGAGCAGCGCCGTGGGAGACCGCTTCTGGGCAGTCGTGGGGATGACCAGGGTAGCTCCCGCAGCCAAGACCCCGACGACGTCCTCCCAGAAGCGCGCAGAGTCCACGTCATTGACTACGGCCACCACGTCGTTTTTTGCAGCGGGGTGGGCCTTCCACTCCCATCTGTATCGACTGAGGCACTGGTCGGCCATGAGCAAACATCGCTCTCCTTCTTCGCTGAGGATCTGAAATAGCGGTCCCGGCAGACTGTAGCTTTGAGGAGGTGCAGGTGTCATGACGCAGATGTCGTCTTCGGACTCGGACGCTGAAAGAGACGCTAGTAGACTGCCGATGTCGATGGTTCTAGCCGGCTCGAAGCCCGAGAAGCGACTCTCCGTCTTGCTGTCCACGACTACGCAAGACGGTGGCACCTCGTCCATGACCGCGCCCAGGACAGAACAGGTTGGGGACACGGGTATGCAGCACGCTGAGAGTCGGAGAGTGGCTAGGGCTGCTACGATGGCGTCATCCGGGCACGACACGCAGACGACGACGTCGGTAGGTGCCTTGGTGTCCGCGTTCAAGAGATGGTTCGCCAGATGTCCCGACAGCCGATCCAGCTGGGCGAAGCTGCGGGTCCTCCTGCCACATTGTGTCGCCACTTTCGTATTGGATCGTGTGGTGTGAACATCCAGGACCCGGATGACGTCTTCATAGGTAGATACTGCCATGTCCTCTGCACAAAAATCAAGGAATGAAATGGCATCCCTAGTACTTTTGAAACTTGAGATACTGTAGGTCACATGATGGAGGTATTTATGTTCCCTGTAAGAAACACAAGGCAGTCCCGAGAATCTTATTATTGTTCCCCAACCAATCGGCGGTATTCACTGGGTGCCATACTTGAGCGCAACATTCAGAGCCCATGCTCAGAACGAGACCCCCTAACCTTCTAAAAAATACCTACACTGTGCGTGTGAAGGGATAGTTACGGAAGTCTTGTGGAAGCTCATCGTAAGCTCACGCTCAACAGCACCGGACTCAACTATGGCTACCAGTGAATACTGGCTATAATATCCCGGTATCAACCGCTAGAAAGCCAATACAAAACTTGAAAGTATAAAACAGAGAGGACGAGGACGGGAACAGGACATCTTTCAAAGATGTCCTGTTCCCGTCCTCGTCCTCTCTGTTTTATACTTTCAAGTTTTGTATCTATTAACCAACACGCTCGTTTTCAATTGAGAAAGCCAATGCAACATTCGTTTTCAGTAAATACCGTTTAGATAATTATTTCTTGATATTTATAACTAAGAAACACTCGCTCGGTTGTCGTCACCTCGGGTGCCGTGCGCGAGAAATACAAATCCCGACTACGTAAAGTTTTGCGAAGGAGAGACTGAAAGAAATCACCCTCTTTTATCCTTGAAATTACAACGCGGCCGAACAGCTTCTCGATCAGTGGCGTCGCGTACGAGCATATACTTGGGTCCCACTAGTGCCCGAAAGCTAGTGCAAAGCGCGAAACATACTCGTGCGTACTTAATACTGTTGCACAGACCCTTTGAGAACACTGAAAGAAGGGTAGCGAAGCAGTATGCACGGTCATAATATGCTCTGCCCTACGCTTCTTAATCAAGCTTTCACTGACTCTCGGAAATCACGCCGTGTTCAATTGATACAAACTCCAACAGCAATCATAGACATTTCTCATCAATATACAACTTGGCAGTCAGGCCTTCGATTGCCAGGGGGCTATGTTGCACGTTTTGGACTCTTAGGAAACTAGGGAGCAGGAAGTGACTTCCACAACGCTCTTTGGATGTTGATTGGTGGAGTCGATGATGACGCGTTGCGTGGTGCTGCTAAGATACGTTCATTCACACCTACGTCACTTCCTTCTCCCTAGTCGCCTGGGAGTCCAAAACGTGCAACATAGCCCCCCAGCTGAAGCATCTTTGCATAGGTCGCACTCGAACTAAAATCCAAGGTTAGATCTCCACGCTGAAAGCTAGAAAGCAGCTGGTAGTAATTGTCGGTATAGTGAAAGCGAAAGAAAAAATACATATACAGGTACCGTTATCGCGGCTTTTGGCGCAGCACAGGGCTTCCATGATCTCCATCATTCTGAATCGCTTGCTGACGCGGCACTACCGAACAACGCCGACGGCTCTGGAGCTGAGATCGCGTGGCGCGCGGAGTCCGAGGCTCGATGGCAAGCACGCGGCGTATGCGCGCGACCGTCAGCTCAGGAGCCACCTTAGCTGAAGTAAAAGCAGAAGGGCTGAAGCGGGCTGAAGTATGCCACCATAGCTGTAGCTTTCAGCGCGTGCTAAATTTGATCCGCCAGTGCTGACCACAAAAGAGCGCGCGTTCATTGCTGTGTCTGTGTGTTACGCGAGCGATGGTTGGACTGTGGTTTAGCGCGTGTGGGCTGTGATTTTTTGGTGACAACGGAAACGTGCAGAGTCGCGAACAACCTTCTGTGGCGTTTCAGATGAAGTGAAGAGCGCGCATGCACGCGCAGCTTTGATCGCCACTCATGGCACGTGAGCGCCTCTGCGCCCACAGCTTTGACTGCTGCAGCCACAGAAAATTATTTCCGAGTATAGAGAGTATTCACTGGCGGCCATAGCTGTGTGCGCGAATGTTGAGCGCGTGCTGATGGCGAGCTTCCACAGTTCTTTTGCAACGTGCATTCCGCACCATCAAGAGTGCCGGTCTTAGCAGCCTATTGATGTGAGCTCGTTCTGAGCATGCGCTCTAAACAGCACCCACAAATATGGCGTCCAGTGAATACTCCCTATATAGACCCACTAAGCGCTTCAGGGGAAGGACACTCAATCAGTCTAGTTGCTTAAAATTATGGTTGCCAGTTATGTGACGCTTTATCGCAAATGGCAGGAAACGTCCTTCTCTCACCCGGAAATGTTAAAACGGTCCGCAACAGAGCAAAACGATATCGCCCGAGCCCCCGTGAGACCGCACATAAAGCTGGGGAAGTCGCATGCTGGAATCGATCCAGCCTGCGCTAAAAAACAAAATAGCGGCGACCACAAGAAAAAAAAAAAGGAGAACTGGAGTTTCAATACTCGAAGTGTAGATTGCTCAGTAGTAGATTTTAACCGAAGCGCGGGCAAAGCCGATGACAAGCACGAGCAGGTTTTGAACAGCGCTTTCATTTCACGGGCGATGGCAGCTCAATGGGTTGCGCTTCGCTTACACTTTTGGCGAAACCGACTATTGGCGCGGAGCGCGACCGTAAGCGTCGCTGCAGTCAGCCATCCGTGATTGGCCACAGGCCCCCTGTGACGCCTTTAGCAGTATGTACTCTAATGTCACCTACGGAAACGAGGGCGGTGGCAGAAAGTCACGTTCGCGACGTTGTTGCAGTAGAGCATTAGACGACTACGCAAGCTTCCGTCGTGCTCATGGGCGTACCAATCGGGGGGGGGGGGGGGGGAAGAGAGAGAGAGGCAAGGGGGCGCTTGCCCCTCCAGATCTCAGAGCGGGGGGGGGGGGGGGGGGGGGGGGGAATGCAAAGCATGTGTTTTGCCCCCCCCCCCCCCCCCCCCCCCCCCCCCCCCCCCGGCCTAAAACAGCCGCCACGGGCAAACACTGGCCGGCGGCGCCCAAGAGGTTCTAAGGGCACCGCTCCCCGGCCCAGGGAAAAGGGGGGGGGGGGGGGTCTGGTTTGCCCCCCCCCCCCCCCCCACTCAAAAACAAGTTGGTACGCCACTGGTCGTGCTCTTTCAACTCACCGTCGAACTGATGATTAATGATGAGGGCCACAACTCTTGACGTCACAGCGAGGCGAATTCTAGTAATAACGTCACGGAAAGTAAATATAAGAAGGCTCCACCGAAACATTGCGTCTAAAGCCCCTCGATAAAAATTAATCTCTGCACTAATCGCTAGTACGGGTACAAACTGAGGGAGGAGACGAAAGAGTGCAGGGACCTTCAGAACACCGAGCTCTGGTCGGAATGATTCGAGGGTAGCCGTATTTCTAGCTGCCTTTTGTCTCTGCTCAAGGCTGGTTCACACACTCGCGACTGCAGCTTGCGACAGGAGAGGCTAAAAAACTGTATTTAAGTCTCTCGTGACGGTTTATGATCGGCTGCAGTGCTGCGCAGCCGGTCGTAAGAGGTCACAAGTGGTGTAGAAACCGGTCGTATTGCAGTCGGTCGTTTAGTCAAAAGCAAGCGTGCGAACAGGCTCTCCCTCGTCGAACGCGTTCCAACAGTAAGAAGTGACAGCTACGCGGAGAGCAAGTCATCTGCTTCTTGCGCAGGAGTTGCAGTGACGTCAGAACGACACCGAGCTCTGATTGGTTCGGATTCAAGGACAGTGGGTAGACCTCAAAGCAAGCCATTTTGAGGTCTACCCATAATTCTTCATTCAGAACCAATCAGAGCTCGGCGTTCTGACGTCACCACAACCCCTGCAAGAGAAGCAGACAAACTTGCCCTCCGCGTACCTTCGCGTCTACCCTCTAATCATTCCAGTCAGAGCTCGACGCTCTGGCGTCTCCGCGCGCTCTCTCGTCCTCCTCTCCCTCGGTTTTTACTACCCGGTTCACAGACTTGTGTGAACTTTAGTGTCATTTCTGTGGTGTGCCACGCGGCTTCTTCCTGAAGAACACACTTTACTTCATGTGAGTTTGACCAGTTTGACGAACTCACTTCACTCGATCGAGCGCGTGGCCTCGATGGCAGTTTTTGAACAGTGAAACAAAGCAACATACAAGTCATCAACGCGGCGTAAATTTTATTTTAAAAAGAACAAGAAATTCGTGAAGGAAAAAACAAAAAGCAATGTCATTGCAAAAAAAAAAAAATAGTTGGGTGGATTACGGTTGGACTGAATACGCGCTCGCTGTCTTATGGCCTCTCCAGTGAGGCTTGATAACAGCTATGTTTCCGAAGCAGCACTGGCACGTAGTGTGCCCTAAGCGTCACTGGGTGGTCGGGTGCTGCGCCACACCGCGGCCGCATGATGTGTCACAACTTTCTGCAGCTATGCATGCAATCAAAGGTGTATCGTTCTATTACGAGCGCCTACGGATGATGGACTGTACGCCAGGATGAGATAGGAACCATAGGAACGACTGACTCGTCGTCGTCTTTTATTCCCGCACCGCGAGGCTATGCTCGTGGTACATCCTCTTTTCTCTGCATTTAAAAAAAAAGTGCAAAATTAAGATGACACAAAGACGCTAGTCAAAAATAAAAAAAAAGGGACAAGAGAGAGAAAAAAAGAGAAGAAAGAAAAAAAAAACTACGGCATTTGCTGGAACGACTCATCATAACTTAGTCTCCGTGGAGGCTGTCTGCTTCTGCCCGATCGGCGTGATGAGGGCCCCTGCTGCGTCTGAGCTTGCGGTGCTTCCTGGTCCTCTGTCTCTTCATCTGTACCGTCTGGTCCAGGCGACTGCGGTCCCCCATCGTCTTCCGATTCCGAGTCGTCGTTTTCTTCTGTTGTCCTTGAATCATATTCTTCGTCAACTTTCAGGAGATGTTGCCTGTTGCGACGGAACGTCCTGCCATCTTCTGTGACGACGCTGTACGATCTAGGAGCGACGTAGGACTCGACAGTTGCTTTCGCAGCCCATTTTCCATCGTTTAGGATACGGACGGTGTCTCCTGGCTGCAGCGGCTCTAGATGTCGTCCTTTTTTGAGGTTCTGGGTGTGCTTTTGAACAGGCGGTGCTGGATCCGAAGAGAAGTCT